TTTTTGCAAGTTTCCCACAGACGGCGCCAATGTTGAGGGTAAATCCCGTAGATCCGAAAGCCCAACACGAACTTTGGATATATCAGGAATGACACAGAATCAAAGCGTGTAAAAAATATAAGATCTCAACTAACTAACACTCGAAGGCTCACTTGTATTAATTAACCAGTCTGATTACAAGGAATTTCCCGATCGGTAGGTCGGAAACTATGCTTTAATACAAGAAATAAGAGCAATGATGCTATTCTAGAGCCTGAGTATTGAAATGCTAACCCTTACAATGACTTGAAACCTTCTATTTATACTAATGGAGAGCATGGGCTGCCCTATGCTGATTGGCCGTTGTTCCACCGACTTGGTCATCCATGCTCCCACTTGCTGATGTCACAGTCTGGCATTAATTGCACCTGGCCACTTGCGGTTTGGCCGTTGCTCGAACGGGATGTTGGGCTATGCTGAAGATGCTGTCAATTTGGCCCAAGTATTATATATAGTCCGAACTTCGTTCGGTATGTCTCCTTACTGGGCCAACCCTTACTTGGGTCGATTCTCGTTCGGCATTAATTCTATCATGATTATCCTATCATCTCGTGATGGGCCCGTTGCTTGGGCCGGGTATCTTGGGCCTTCCTGATCCGGGTATTGGGCCTCTGGATCAATATCCCAACAAACACCATTTGCATGTTTTTTTTTTAAAAACACAGTGAACATTATTTCGTAAATGATTTGTATTATTAAATAAAAAAGTTAAATTTTATAAATACACTTCAACAATTCCTAAATCATGTTCTTTGTGATTCAGTTCTATCTTTGAAAATAATTTACATAAGTCATCACGCGAGTTACATAGTTGTTATACACTTCTTGCATAAGGTATAACCGAAGTTACATCATGCATAATCACTTGAATAATGATATATATAATAAAGAATAACTTACTCTCCAACTTCCTTTGAAAATGCATAGTCAATCACCATTTTTTCTTCCTTCCTCATCTCCTTGCACAGCCTGTGGTTATGTTTGAGATATGGTGACCTGAATTTCCATTCTGTATCAGCTTCATTTTTCACCTTCTTTCTTTTGGCCACAGGTGTCATCTTCACTTCTTCTTCTTCATTTTGATGCTCTTCAGTCACAACATGCTCTTGATTTCCATATTCTTCTTCCCTCACTCCTCCTTCAGCTATCTCAACCATTTCTTCTTTGTTGTTTTCTTCTTCTATGTTTCTTGCAATCTCCATTACTTGGTCTTCAGTCATTTCAGCAACTAGATTCTCATTTGTTGTATTTTTTCATTTTGATCGAGAAGGTTGTGTCATGTTGAACTCAATGCCCAGATCAAATGAAGGCATTGAGAACTTCAGATAAGCAGCTTTTTCCAGTTTATCTAGGGCTTCCATTACCCCTGGTATATTGAAAAAATCATCGTCCTCATCAAGAGTGCACTTTTCTTCCAACCTCTCTTTTTCTGATTCTTGTGCACTGCCATTAGATTGTCTGAAGAAGTAATCCGTTGTTGTCAAGTATATTTTTTTCAAGATATCAGAATTGGGAAATATTTTAGAAATTGTTGCTGGAAGTTTTGAGAATTCCACAAAAGCATCGTTGAACTTTTGTGCAACAACAATTATTTCTTTGACACAGTCCTACAAAAATTGAATTTCATTTGTAAGTGTCATATACCATTAGATATGAAATATAAGCAATGTAACTTTATCTATGCAACTTCTTTGATATTGTGTGTAACTTGCGCGTAAGCTTATGTAACTTTCTGTTTTGTTGTATGTAACTTTAGTTATACTGTATGTAATTTGTTGTATATCGTGTGTAACTACATTTTATTATTATGTAACTTTGTGTGTGGTTGTATGTGTCTTTAGTTTAGATCTATGTAACTTAAGTTCAATATACTTATGTTTCATTCAAAACTGTATGTAAGTTATGATCAATTGTATGTAACTTTAGTTCAAGTATATGTAAGTAATGATCAACAGTATGTAACTTCCATTCATACTGTGTAACTCCAGTGACATCAGTGAAGCAACTAACCTAGATATAGTATTTATTTAAAATTTACCTCTTTAAAAATCATCTCTTCATCTTCATTTTGTTCTGTATTGGCTTCTTCATTTTATTCTCTTTCTTCTTTCTCTTCATCAGCTATCATAATTCGTGGGATGCCCTTCCTGAGCCTGAATCCCAGCTTCCTCTCATCTTTTATTCTCCTTTCAATTCTTTCTTTGCTCCAGATTCTGATTGTTGGATAAAGAGTATCCAAAACCTGACCTTTAAATTGCACTCTATCGAAGTAACAAATCATCAGAAACAGCAACGGTCCAGTGAACATCCTTGTTGGCTGAGCTTGCCATTCTTCTCCAGCATCCATTAATGATCGTCTTGTATACTTGCAACAGTTCAAGTTCTTGATTTCATTAACTTTTATCAGAGAGAGCAAGATCTTGAAGTTGCTCTTTATACTCTGATTGCCTCTGATGAGGCATGAAAATGTGAACACCACAAAATTTCTCTTAAAAACATCTCCACAATCATCATCATCAATGATTTTTTGGATCATTCTTGTTGTCTCTAGGCTGCCCTTTTCAATTCCTCGGTACTCTCTCCACTGCTTCAACAATTCAATGTACTCTTCACTTTCATTTTTGACATTTGCTTCCTCGACATCAATCTTTCCCATCGGCAAACCAAAAACAGCTCTAACATCCTGTTCTTCAATATCCAACAACTCACCATTTGTGAGTTGTAGCTGAGCTGATATTGGTCGCAAGCTTTGCAATAGAAATTGTACACAGTCTCCATAAAATCTGTCAAAGCTGAGGTTGAGCAAGCCTCCAAACCCAATCTCTTCAACTGATGTTCTCTTATTTTCATCAAGGAGTTTAATCAACTTAATAAATGGTGCTGGTCCTACTCTGGTTCTTAAGTTGACAGTAGTGTTTCAATCTACTTCTTCAACATTCTCTTCTGATTCTTCATATCTTACTGCAACTGTTTTTCTTTTTCTGGAAGTTGTTGGCTTGTCGTAAGTCAACATTTGCAATAGTTGTTGACTCTGTATTGATTCATAATCTTCCAGATTAAGATTCTCATTCTATGCCGTTGCATTGCTTATTGTATTCCTAATATTATACAGAATAACATTCATAGGGCATTATTAATTTAAGCTAACATTATGAATTTATATAACTCATAGGAGCATTTACATAATATTATACATTTGTTACATAATTTATAACTCAAAGTTACATGTTATGCCTTTGGATGTGATTCAGTTCTATATTTCAAAAGTTACACAAGTCCTCACAACAGTTGCATATTAATATACGTATGTTACATCTATTTTATCTGTAGTTACATGTTACACGTGAGCTATTAAATAATTATTTTTGGGCTGTATAGTTGCAATCATTGGATAAATACAATCCTAAAATTCAATTTTATAATGACCAATTTTGATAAGTTACATAATATTATACACTTGTTTCATAAGTTATATCCCAAAGTTACATGTAACTAAGAATTGACATAAGTTACATATTAATATACTTATGTTACATAAATTCTATCTGTACTTACATAAGTTGCACAAGTTGTTCAATAATCAAATATGGCTCCAATACTTGCAGATAAATAGCAAGTGACAGAGTGTAGATAATGCTTACAGAACTGAACATGTATTTTGTCCTCTACCAATGTTATAGATTGTATATACTTGTTAACTTAAGTAAACATCAGGGATTTTAACGTTTTAAATACAGTTAGATGCAGATGATGAACCAAAAATTACTTTGCTTGTATTTACATGTAAACAACACATTTCATGGCATAATACACATGTTTTCATAACAAAAAAACAATCGCATTGAGTAATATTTGATTCTATGTTATAGTTTATACCTGACAACCGTTTTTTCCTTAACCCTAACCATTTTTGTTGTACTTTCTGGTGAACTTGATCCGCAAGTTTCTCCGGTGAAATCCCTTACTTAATCTCTTGTCTTCTTTGCAGAGATTTGTTTCAAAAAAAAAAAACTTCGTCGAACTTTCTTGATTCAGAAGAAATGTAGAGCGATAGATTTTTCAGAAAGTAAACTTTTGGATTTCGAATAGGCGTAAATGTAAAACATCGGGAGTTGAGAGCATAACCGCTGCGGGAAAAGGTGGGAGATAGGATTTGTTGGTTTGTGTGCGCGTTTTTTAATTAAATGCTGTAATGCTACGTCGTTTTTGCCGCGGGAGTAGGATGCTCAATATGGGCCGCTCCCACGATGTACGAACTGCAATTTGATAGATAGAAAGTGAGATTCTGTCCCTGATACTTGCAGAGGTCCTATGCATTTTTAGCTTAGTAATCTCTCATCGCAGTTGTCGGGATTTGAGCCCGGGATCTAACCCTTGTGGCACTCTCTCGATAACGATTGAGCTAAGGCCACGGGTGAAACCCAACAATGCTTACCCAACAATGCTTATAAGACTGATTGCAATGGAGGGGGTGAAAACCCCAAATGTGAGGTTTTCACCCCAAAAGTGCTGCAATCCTGAGCAAATTTCGTATAATGAGAGGCTACAGGGAATCTGGGAGACCTTGGGGGCCGACCTATGGTCGGGCAATCGCCTCTTGCCCTGGAGGAGTTGAGTGGACAACTCCTGACAAATGCAGAGGAAAGATGAGGAAATATGAAGTACCGTGTTCAATTTGCCAGCTTTAAGTTTGCTTTTATTTGGTGGGTGGTTTGTGGGGGATGAAAAGGGCTAGTGGGTTGGGGTGGGATTTAATTTAAAAAAATTGAAGGAAGTAAAATCGGATGGACACAATTCTTTGATACACACACAAATAAAATTAGGTACATCCAACGGTTAAAAATAGATCTAACAGGTAAAATAATTTATTTTATTTTTTGATTATTTTTTATAAAAAATTGGATTGAGATTTCTATATAAACACTACTCATATTTTCATTTCAATACACCTCAATCATCATTCTTCCTCTACTTTATATTTGATTTTTTAGCAATTTGTAATACTACTTAATAAATGTCTTCACAAAAGAGGGGTTCTAATTGGAGTTACAATGAAGATGTATTCTTGTGTAAGTCTTCGGTGTCTATTTCTGAAGATGGTGCAGTCGGAATCAATCAAGCGGGCGATTCATTCTGGTCCCGAGTTCACATGTTGTTCTGTCAACAAGCAAATACGACAGTCCGAACTAGGGAGGCTGTTGAATCACGGTTCAAAGTTATCAATCATCAGTGTTCGTTATGGAAGGGGAGTTTGCGAAAGGCAAATGCAACCCAAAGCAGTGGATCGAATCTAATCGATGTGGTATTTTAAATTATTTCCTCCCTAATATTATTACAACATTTTATGTATTACATGAATATATTATTCATTATTTCTATTTTACATGCTATTATAATTATGTATATTACTAATATTATTTATATATTACATTAATATATCTATTAGTACGTAAATATTATAGATATATTTTTTACATTATAGATATAATAATATAAAAAATATTACATTAAGTAATATAATTTTTTTTACGTAATATATAATGTATTATATAATGTAAAACATTAAGTACGTAATGTTAAGTAATACATTAAGTATTACTACGTAATATTGTTTATATAATATATTAATATATCTATGTGTATTTATTATGTATATTATTGATATATTTTTTATATTATGTATATCTATTAGTACGTAATATAAATATTACATTAAGTATTTAGTACGTATCTATTAGTAAGTAAATATTATAGATATATTTTTTTACATTATAGTATGTTATAATTTGTACATTTACATGCTACATATACATGTTGCAAAAATATCTGATAAGTGTTTTATATCAATGTCTGAAGTGGTATCTAATATATAAATGTGTGTTTGTAGACGTTTGCCGCAAAAACAATATTTGTAAATGACAATCATAACAAGGCCTTTAAGTTTGACCATGCTTGACATATACTTCAAGCATGTCCGAAGTGGTATCAACAATATGATACTACTCCCACTTTTACGCCCATACCTTCTGTCACTCCTGATACGTTTGTTGAAGGAAGTAGTGGTTCATCTCCTTCCGATGGTATAAGTGGTCCTCTATGACGTCCTGAGGGACGTGACAAACAGAAGGGAACGAAAATAGCAAAAAATAAGAATTCAAGGACAGACCCCGTGATGCTTGAGTACATGGAAAGAATGTTGAAGCAAGGGGAGCACATCTAATTTAATTCAATTGCATTTCATTGTCGTTATTTAATTTTATTGAGTGGGAGTTTTCGTTATTTTATTAATTGTTTTTATTAAAAAGTTTGAATAAACCACCACTTGCCTTATCCTATCACATCTAATAAGTACCAACTTGGTTGTTCATAGCACATGTAATTAGTAGCCACTTGCTATGTCCTTTCACATCTAATAAGTACCCACTTGTGTTTAAAATATCTTGCCACTTGCTTAATATTTTTGTATAAATCGATGCCCCACTTCACAATCTTCTCACACTCAATCCTCCTCATTTTTATATACACTGTAATATATTCCTTTATCATGGGTTCTTATCCCGATATGTTCGCAGCCTTGGATGAGTATGATGATTCTGAGGCCGACGCTCATCGTATGAGAATGGGTGTTATGGTGACACTTGTTTCTTCAAGCTGCGATGGTCATCGTGAGTACATTGACCGAGGTAGGGAAGATGGTCACCAACGTTTGATGGATGACTATTGGAGTCTAAATCCAACTTACAACGCTCGCATCTTTCAGCGTCGTTTTCGCATGCAACCGGCTTTGTTTGATCGAATAATGAATGATGTGGTGCGAACCGATCCTTTCTCCGCACCAAAAAAAGATGCATTGAATAAGGTATCACTTTCTCCTCACCAAAAAGTTACTAGTGCCATATTCATGCTAGCAAATGGTTGCTCTGCCGATTCATTAGATCAGTTGTGCCGTCTGGGGGAGAGCACAACTTTGTCGTGTTTGAAGAAATTTTGTAAGGCAATTATCGGAACATATGGTTCTTGGTACTTGCGAACACCAAACCCCAGTGACCTCCACCGTCTTTTTGAGAAGGCTACAAAAAGAGGTTTTCCCGGCATGATTGGTTCCATCGACTGTATGCACTGGGAATGGAGGAATTGTCCTACAGCATGGGCGGGACAGTTCACTGGCCACAAGCACAAACCAACTATTGTGCTTGAGGCCGTTGCTTCGTACGACACATGGATATGGCACGCATTTTTCGGCACAACGGGTTCCAACAATGACCTTAACATACTTGCATGCTCTCCTGTTTTTGATGCTGTTGTTAATGGATGTGCTCCTCAGGTAAATTACATGGTCAACAATAACATATACAATCAATGTTATTATTTAGCCGACGGAATCTACCCCACATGGGCGACTTTTGTTAAAACAATTAGTAACCCTGACACCCCCAAGAAACGCCTCTTTGCTGCTAAGCAAGAGGCGTATCGCAAAGATGTGGAAAGAGCGTTTGGCATTTTACAAACGCGATGGGCTATCGTACGAGGACCCGACCGAATGTATCAGACGCAGACATTACGTGATATAATGCTCACATGCATTATTTTACACAACATGATCGTAGAAGATGAGTATGAAGAAACTGATGATGATGCAAGTACTCAAGACTATAGTGCGCAGTATGACTATACTGTTCCGCACATTCAGTTTGATCTTAATCACGATGCCCCGACTTTGCACGACTACATGATGCGACATAACCGCATCAGGAGCACTGCGGTGCACACTACTCTTAAAAATGATCTCGTGAATCATTTGTGGGGCCATCACGGGAACGACGTGTGGTGGGCTACTTTTATGTTATTTACTGTTTTTCATTCGTTTGAGTTGAAGAATGCTACTACTGTTGCTAGCTTTTCCCATTATAGTAATGTATTAGGATTTCTTCCTCTTTTTTAATTAATTATCGTACCAAATATTATGTGTGTTTCTAGTAATTGATCGTTGGTATTTTAATTTGACAAAATGTGTTTCAATTGATTTAAATTTAATATTAAACAAGTCCACACTAGTAGTATATATAATGAGAACTTAATAATATAGAAATATAGAAAACAATTAATAGTTTTAAATTTATTTCAAATTGAACTCATGTACGCATTTTTAATACTTACAAAAAAATTATATTCACAATTTTTATTTTTTTACATCGGAATGTTTGAGTTTTTAAACAATAATTATTGGTCAAAATAAAATTAACACATAAATGATGTGTAATCATATAACCTAGGATTTATGCATTTAATTAAAAAAAATGTGCTGAGTGGATATATTGACGGTGCTGGGTTGCAGAGAAAAACTGAATTGACTGAGTGAATACGTATAAACTGGAGGGGAATTAGATTTATTGACGGACTGAGTTGCGGTTAGCCTAAACGTCTTAACCCTGGCCCACTACTTGGGGTTGAATTGGACCGTTGTAAAACCATGGCAGAGGCAACGAAGCTGTGATTTCTGTGAAGAGGAAGGGGAGGCCTCCACGCGTCCCATTCATTATTACTTCAAACTGCTCTTTGTTCTTTCTTGTTTTGGAGCTTTTCTTTGCCGCCCACTCCTCCAAAAAGCTTGGAAACTGTTTTTCTTTCTTTTCTTTATTTTTGCCCCTGAAATGAAATCTTGGGTTTGGAATGATAAAAAAAAATCCCGGGAATGCTATGCTTTCCTCCCACGAAAGCCCAAGAAACTGTCCCAACAGAAATGGTCTCGTTTTTTTAATTTTTTTTGCTGTTTTCATTTTGCAGATATGAACTGATACATGCATTGAAACAGGAGATTCAAATATGGAAACTCACTGCATTTCGTTTCTTTATTCTGCTAGTCGTTTGAAACTATGATTGAAATTTGTCATTTGGGATTGTATTTTATTTTACTTTGTTATACTCATTTTTGCTTCCTTAGGAAAGATGTGATTTTATGGGCAAAGAAAACAACTGATTCTTGAAATGGAGTGGGATTGTGAAATCCTGGTAACGCTCAGCTCTAAACACAATGGCAGCAGCATTGACAGTTCTTCCAGTGGTGTTTATGCTTTCCCGCGAGAAAGCTCAACCAAGAAGGCCGAGAAAGTGGAACGTTCTAGAAAGGGCGAGAAGGGCGAGGAGAAATACGTCAAATCATCTCATCCTGTTGGATCTGTAGAACCATTAATAGGGTTGAGGCTTGGGAGGAGAACATATTTCGAGAACAACAATGTTTCATCTTCCATCATCGTCCCTGTCTTTCCTAAGAGGGCAAAACTGTCTTCTGCTCTTTCTCCGCAAATCCTGCGCTGTCAGGTTGACGGCTGCAATCTTGATCTTTCTTCTGCTAAAAGTTATCACCAGAAGCATAGAGTTTGTGATAATCATTCCAAATGCCCCAAGGTGTTTGTAGGCGGAGCTGAGCTTCGGTTTTGCCAACAGTGTAGCAGGTATATATGGTCCTTTGATTAATTTCAGTTTAAATAGTTGAATGGATTTTGTATGATATTATAATTATTGGTGTTTAATTAAAGATTTTTTTAAATGTTCAATGAAGGTTCCATGGCTTATCTGAGTTTGACGAAATGAACCGCAGCTGCCGCCGGAGACTTTACCATCACAATGCCAGACGGCGTAATCCACGTCAGCAGTTTAATTCCACCCAGCCATCTTCTTCCTTTTATGGTCTGATGATGATACTTTATCTCTTAATCCTCTTATATGTGGGTTGAAGTTTTTTCTAAGAGTATTCATTTATAGTGTTAGTTGTTAAACTAATTAATTTTAGTCTTTCAGATAATTAATTGGGGATTGGAGTTTGCATCCCACTTTTTTATGAGAATGTATATGGAGAATCTCCATATGTTTTCTTCACTTTTTATCCAAATTGAAGTTTGCATCCCATTTTTCATTTTTCATCCCCATTTGTAATTATTAGTATTTGTGTCCCAAAAGTTATAGAGTAAAATTTAGTAATTGGGTGCAAACTCCAATTCCCTCTAAATAAAGTTGACCCCATAAGTTTCATGCCAATGACCCCAACATACTTGTATACTTGTTTAGTTCACAAGTCAAAACTGAAATGTGAAGAGCAAAGTTATTTATCCAAATGCATTTAAATTAGTTAAGAGCTACTAGTATTTAGTATAAAAGGTGCTCTGAATTATTTCCCATTTTTATCCTTGATGGTATTTTTGAATTTACAGATGAGAGGCAACAAATGAATACTGTGGTCAACAAAGGTCAACTTGTCCTCTCAAAAACTGCTGTGAACTCAAACTGGGATAGTTATAGCTCTAAGTATACCGTCAGTGATGAATCAACTTTGGAGCCTGAAAAAAGTAACAGCATTGTCTCATATGTGCCAAGTGCAACTGGCGGCCATGCATGGAGTTGGCCATTCTCATCTGATGGAACCAAAGCTGAGTTCTTCAATCAAGGTTTGTTGTCGCTGTTCTTCGGAGTTAAGACAGCATTTCTGACTTATAATGATACATCCCTATTTATCTGTAAATATATTATTGATGTATTAAAAGCTTATTGCTTTACTTTTGAATCAGTCTTGGATTATTTTTCGAGTTAATTGAAGTATAAAATCCTTTTTCCATCAAGATATGCAATGACTATTGTCATTTTTTGGTTTATGGCGATGGTAGTGTTTGTATCGAAAGTGCCTAATTGTATTTAGAGTTTTTTAGTAGAGATTATAGAAAAAGCTTATGTAAAAAGGTACTTTTTGGTGTATTATTTTAGGTAACGTATTATAGAAAAAGTGAGAAGTAATGGTAATCACCTGTGTCTTGTTTTACTGCTTTTAGCATTAAATTCAGAAAAATGCCAATTGGAAATACTACTCCCTTTAGATTTATCATTTTAAGCAATAAACACAAAAATGTTTTTTCGTACACTACCTAACACTCCTTGCAAGTCTTGTCTGCAAGATGAATGCATTTAATAGCACTTGCTTGTATCCCTAGTCTTGGGTTGCAAAAGTTCTGTTTTTTCTTTGTTCACTGTGTGAGATTAATTTTACAGTAATATATAACCTTAACACAGTGTGATTGTTGTTGACCAAATAAGGAACATTCTGCATATTGGAACTAGAAAGGTTTTAGTTGCCCAACTACTTCAGTTGTCAGTTTGTTCTTACTGACCAAGCTGTAGTTAATTCTGCCAAAAAGAAGACTAAAAAGTCAAGTCTTGCTAAAACAATATTACAAACATGACTCTTTATTTTCAATAACAGATAGGCATTTATTATAATATATATTACAAGATCTTAACCTATGATGTTTTTATTTATTGAACAGGAAGCAAGGGATACTCTATCTTCTCTTCAAACGACGGCACAATACCTGAGCTTTTGTGCTCTCTCTCTCTCTTCTGTCAGCTCCTAAATTCATTTGAAGTGGTAGCAATGTGAATTCAGACCAGAGCAGGTATCCTGAGGCAATGCTGCAGGAGATCATCCCTCATCAGCTCATAATGCCTCTTGCCTCATCAGAGTACTATTGGCAGTGGCAGCAGCAGCCTTCAAACAATCTCCATGCCCAGCATATCCTTGCTCCCAACTCTACCATCAACACTGGTCTCTTTTCAGAAACTCAGCTCTTCAAAGCTCCTTGTGACACAGACTTTTACTTCACTGCTTTCAAATGAGATCATAAAATCATCTCCCCCCCCCTTTTAATTTTACTCTTCCCATCTTTTCAGTATTATGAAGTGACTGTAGTTACCGTAGTACTAAGAGGTGGCTGAGCATTTTGAAATTTGGGTTTTTAGTGTTTCGAAAACTGGCGATCTCTAGGAGGTTACGAGTACATATAAAAATCCTTAGATATTGAACTTCCAAATTCAGAAGTTGTAGCTTGAAGTTTATGAATGCTTGGTTTTTACACATCTTTTAGGGAAGCTAGCTCGCAATTGTCATCTCATAAATTGTACTCCCTCCGTCCCAATTTGATGGTCTTATTTCTTTTGGGCACAAGTTTTAATAAAGTAGTTGAAAAGGTAAAAGTTGTGGTTGAGATTTGAGTATAATAAAGTGAAATGATATGGACCACATCTTTCTTTCCAAAAAGAGAAACAAGACCATCATTTTGGGACATCCAAAAAAGGAAATACAGGATCTTCATTTTGGGAGGATGTAGTAATAGATTTGTCAAAGTTGCTTGGCAGATTTGATTTCCTTCATTGCAGAAAAAGCACCAGTACTGTGATCTTTACTTCACTGGTTACTAGTAGTGTTTATTAAGGTCAATGTTATTGTGCTCTTGCTTAAAGTGTAGTGTATCAATATACGTAGTATGATAGGTTCCTCGATAATCATAATACCTAACTAATACTACACATATAATGGCATCAATATGAATTGGTCGCCAATATGTAGTTGTTAACATTGTTTTTTGGATGACCATCATTGGCTAAGTTTCAGAGGTGGTTACAATGGTGGCGAGGCGGATAGTGGAACAATGTGTGATGGTTGGCGACTAAGAAGGCGTGGCTGTGGAGAAGGTTTGGCTCATTGACTTATACAGCAAGCTAGATGCAAGTAACCTCATCAGTTGTTGCTACCACCATAAGCTTCTGCCATTTCCTATCGTCACCGCCATCACGGAAACTCAGACAACCAATGACCTCATTTGCTTTGACTAGCAACAAATATAATGGAAAGTACATTGCTTTCATTCCAAACCACCAACGCACTTCAAGGGAAAATATGTCATTGACTAAGAATATCATTTAATCCATTCTGCGGTTTCTGCCCGATACACATTGGTATTCCTACCTTTTCAGGGGAAGAGTCCCACCACAAGAGTGTACACTGGAAAGCTCTCCCTAGTCATTTTGATAAAGGCCGCTCCCAAGACTTGCGATCTCTCTCGGTCTTACGGATTTAAATGTGATTTAATTTGTATGAAGTAATACATTGTTGGTTCATACAACCTGCCAATTTTTTGGTATCAATGTAATGTACGGAATAATTCATAGTTGAAAGTTGAAACAAACCATAATTGGGATTATTTTCCCCACTTCTTTAAATCATTTTAAGATATTTACTCAAACTCAGTTTCAAATAATTATTTCTATCGTTATAGACTAATAAATCTAATTGATCTAACTTTTATAAAGTTGTAATCAAGTTCTTTTTTCTTCTGTATCTTCAAATGAAACATCAAACATGGCTTATTAAATTGGCTAAAAATGACATGCATAACTGTATTCATAAGCTATCATCCCCTTTCCTTTCAAACCTTTCACCATACAAAATAAAGAGGCTACAAAAATCTTCCAAAGTTTATGTATGCTCCCAGTGAAAAAAATAAGGAGGTGCAAGTAAAGCATTAAAATGCTAGAAGATGAAGCCATGATTGCTCGTAGACATGAATTGAGATAGCGTTGAGCAGAATGAACACCAAAGGTTTCGATGTTTCAATTGCAGGGTATCAAATAAAACACATGATGGTTCCAAATGCAGCATCAAAATGAGTAGAATCATAAGGTGGAGTATATCTTTAATCACACACAGTATGGAACTTATTCACTTCTAATTCTAGCTCTCAAGCCGAGTGGTCACGCTTCATGCCCTGAAATGCCCTACATACATGCAAAAATAATATCACTTGCTGAACATTAAACTTTCACCTTATGAAAACATTAGCATTACTTAGCTGTAAACCTTGGGGTATTTTTGAAAAGGCAGGAAATGGTTTCCAGAAAAGTGACTTTTTCCAGAAACAATTCTAATTTTCCAGTCTTTGGCAACACATGAAAAATCTTTTTCTTGTATGGTTCATTTTCTGGGAAAAAGGAAGTAAAATGAATTGATCAACTCCAGAGTATGAATATCCAAGCTCCCGATACGTGATCCGATACGTGATGCATTCCTAATTATATACTTTAGTCGAATAATCTGTATAAGTGATTGGAAAGAGCATAGGAAGCAGAGCATATATTTCCTTGGGAAGGTTAAAAGTCTTTTAAATAGAAAATTAAAAAACAACAAGAGTAATATATTTAATGGAGATATGGAGTTTTTATTGAAAATACAAACGGTAAATTTATAACCCTAAATAAGAAAGAGAAAAACAAAGAAAAATAAAACAAGCATGAGTGAAGAGAAAAGGGTGATGTTCGGCTTTGATGGTGGAGAAAAGCACGAGCCCCAACTTGCGTTTAAGATATGATGAATAAGAGAAAAGGAGATGGACCTTTGAAGAAGAATGAATATTGATCGATCCGGAAAACGTCATCATTCCAGAAAGAATCCGAAAAATGACTTCCCATAAAAATGGTTTCCAAACAGACTCTTAGTGGAAACATCTACTTATGCACTTCCGGTTAGGCATTAGTCTATGTCCTTGAATCAAATAAAAATGGTTGAAAGCAGGTTTTCTTGAATAAATATAAATTGGATCTTGAGGCACAGAGTTGTACTAGAGGAAATAAGATAACTAGCGAGAAGGGCTATTTAACAGTTTATCCTGTATTCAATTAATTTTTGAACTAAATTAACCTCAAACTGAAATTACGGTAATGAATAACCAAACACCATTTTAGTCATTGTAAACCCAAAGCATCAAAATTAACAATATATCAAACCCTGTTGTAATTTTCACAGCAAAAGAAACGACTGTCCAGTTTCTCTAGAGACCCAGCTCTTGACTCACAAAGTTTCAGTTGGATTGGTTCATTACAATCTTCCTAATAATCAAACAACCAACCAGAACTGAGCCTCTAATGATGGTATTTAGGGACTCCTGCTTTCACACAAAAAAGACAAGGCTAATGCTATGCAAATGCTGGTTGGTAGATTTCAAGTAGTAGAAGCTAAAAAGATTATTTCTTTAACCTAGTTTAGTACGAGGGGCCAACATATTCGTTGTTTTGAATTTGTAGATTAAATTTAGGACAATCCGGTAAGGTTTATTCGACTGAAATGGCTGAATCTACTCAGTTTCTGAAAGGAAAAGTGTTTGATAGCAATCACCTATCACCTCATCCAATAGAAGTTGAAAAGCTACTAATGCTACTACTTCTGCTCATTAATAAGCTTGAGCTGGATACTGAACCGGGTGTAAGAGACCACAGCTCCCCGGAAGCAGCAGCACATTGTTTCTTGACACTGACAACAGTAACCACATCAGCTATACCCTAAGCTATTTCACATTGTGCAGAAAACCGTTCCCATGGAGAAAATAAGAAACACAAATTCATAAATATACTCACTGATTTATACCAGCGAGGCACCATAAACGAGTTCTTAAACGTTAGTAGAAATTCAAAAGCTCACATAGTCACTTGGAGGTGGATGTAGAAGAGGAATGTGAAGTGGAGGTGTTCGGGACATTCTGAAGCAGGTCGTCGTAAGGATCACGGCGACCTTGAGCTTGACTAATCTTAGAGTCCGAAAAGATCTGGGCATTGTGGCGTTCAAAGGTCCAGAAACCGTACGGGCGAAGAGGAAGGCTCCACATCTCCTTTGTCTTCTTGCACCTGTCCTTCACTGCGTAGAGACGTTCACGGAAGTGCCGATCCCTCTCCACCGGATCCTCCATCAATCTCAGAATCAAATCCTCGGCGAATTCCATAATAAACTTCATTTTCTTCTGCAAAATTTAAATCCAGATAGTAATTGAAATGCAATAAAGCCCTAAGAATTGCAATCGAAAGACTACATGTTTGATTAAAATTACCGGAAAAGGGAAGGTATTTACTGATCATTACAAAGTTCAGAAAACAGAAAATATAAGCTAAGAAGAAATATTTACCTTGCCTTCTTGGCTTCCCCGACAACGATTGCGACTGTTATAGATTCCTGCGGAGCTCAGGTCATCACAAGCTATCAGAATTCAGAAACGCCGATCGTTGAGTAGTCGGGCTGGGCATAAGTGTTACCAACAATTGGGTTTTCATGAAATGTGCTCCAGGCCCATCGACTACTAACATGTTTCTTACAATTGGATGCTTACAAGGCGGGCATGGACTCCTTATTAAAAAAAGTGAAAGAGCAAATAAGGACTCGAACTAATCGAAAAAGTGCAAATCACCCCTTTTATAGAAGCTTCTTTCCGGCCTTCGACATTTTGGGCGGTTCTCGGTGAAATTGTTTGATGATTTTTTTTAATATCTTCTTCATTAAGTCTAGTTTGAAGATAACTACACAGTTAAACAACGCAGTATATTTCAGAAAATCATTTGACTACATTCATAATAGAATTTTAGCTGACATTTGGTATGAGTAAACTATACTTAATGAAGAAGATGCTCAAAAAATCATCAAAGAATTCCACCGGAAACCGCCCCAAATTGCGACGGCCGGACATAGCCTCATATAAAAGGGGTGATTTGCACTTTTTTGATTAGTTCGAGAGCTTATTTGCATCTTTTCCCTTAAAAATGAAATGAGGAACACACAAATTTGGATGAATTGTGATAAAAGTGTATGGCACATTTGCACTAAAACAATGAAATTTCTTCCGAAGGAATACAAGTAACTATCAATAGTATCCTTTAAGAAAATTTATAAAATCATAAGGCGTGAGCGAGAAAAAAATATGTTGGGGTAAATGGTCAAGCACGGGGTAGCCCCAATAACCCAATAGGTCTACAGGCCCAATAGCCCGATAAGGGGGGTCTGGATCCGAGCAGTATAGGCCAGACGACGTCGGCTGAGCGGAACCTGTCGGGCGGCACAAGATCCTTGAAAATTCTCCAGATTGCTGCCAATAGACATTTAGTCTATCCCCCAGAAGAATTGGCGAGAAAGCAATGAAACGGCGGAAAGCGCATTTAATGCATCAGACAAGGGGATTTTATGGTTGCGGTTAGCACCCCAGGACTGACCACATCACCCCATTCCCTACCATTTTGTAGTATAAACACTACTCTGTGACATTTATTTCATTTTAAATGGTTGACAATTTGTATTTAATAGCTTAGTTTCTCTCTATTTCTTCTGTATGCTCTTAGTTTAGAATTGAGGGTCAAGGCACGAGCTCAATAAGAGTGTTCTGTGATTGTCCTAAGTCATTTATAAAACCTGACCCACTTTACCTCCTACTCTTTCTTATTGTTGTTTGTGCCTTCACACTCACCTAGATAGCTCACTAAAAGATAAACAGTCCATCATAATCCAATGAAATCCCTGTGAACATGATGGGCCCTTGGATCGTGAGGAATAAACATCAACAAAATATTGCTATATTTATATACATTCGAACATAAGTATAGCTTGTGATAAATAATACGAATATTGGGAGAAGATTGTAATGTAGACAGATACAAATGTCCATATAAAATATGAGAAGATGGTACATAAGGGGTAATAAAAAGAGAAGTTAATTCTGTTATAACTAGTAACGGAGAAGATGGTAACGAGGACAAACACAAATGTCCTTAAAAATAGGAGAAGATGGTACATAGGGATAATAGAAAGGGAAGCTAGTATTGTTATAACTAGGGATCTGAAACCCGGCTACTGAGGAGCGTCCGATCAAAACATCGATGGTTGGAGATTTCACGATACACATCTCGAGGTGTCTCGTCTTCAATCGGATGACTCTCTGCTGCAAGGTACTCTGTCGTGCTGCAAAGAATCTCAATCGTATAAGTAGTAACTAAGATAGTCTTTTGACAGATCAAAGAACCATATAAAGCATGCCTCTAAAAATAATTTTTGCATTGTTTTAAAGAACTACAACAATTTGAGAAAAAACTTCCATATATCTATAGAACAAAGTTCTCAAGTATACCAAAAGTCCAAAAGTATAACATCATATTTTTGTGTCTTCTGATAAAAGATTACTTATCATTTCAACTACGCTCCCTGTTCCTAAAAGTTCTTCTATAATACAAATGACACACAGATTAAGAAAGTGTGTATTATGTGGTGGAAAGTTGTGCAGAGAAGAGAGAAATGCGTAAGAATGTGTAAGAATGATTGTGAATCACAAATTTTTTGCTAAAAAGAAAAAGTGAAGTTCTTTTTGGACGGACGAAAAGAGAAAGTTGGAAGTATGTAAGGAAACAACTCAAATGTCCATCTCACAAGAAACGAATAAAAGATTGGAAGAAAACATTAATAGTACATTGATGATTGTTTACACATACAAGTTAGTTTAGTCTTTATGTGATAGGTTGTTAATATGTTACTATGTTCTTTTAAAGGAGAATTTGCCTTTGCACCCCACTTTTTGAGTGATATTGGACTTTGCATCACATTTTGAAAAAACTTTGATTTTGCACCACATTTCACTTAAAATTCCTTTGACTTTGCACCCCATTTAGAAATTTTTCTTCACAAAATGGTATGTGTTGGGGTGCAAAGTCAAAGTTTTTTGAGAATGGGGTGCAAAGTTCAACATTACCCAAAAAGTGAGATGCAAAGTCAAATTCCTCGGGTACATAAGATATTTTTTCTCGGATTTTGTTAATTAGAACTGATAGAGTATATAGACTCGGACCCCCGGGTCTCATGACTATTGGGCCCGGACAGCGGCCCACACACATCTTACGGATATCATTTGTATCATTGTACTGCTTATATGTCATTTGTATGTAACTATGTACTAGATTAGTCTTTTATGTAGTTGGGTTACCGGGCCCATATTAGCGGCCCGGCCCATTATTTCCCTATTTATACTCCTCTTGGAGCCATTTGTAACCCTAGAACATAAGTCTCAATACCACTATTCATCTTCTTCTCCACATTATTAAGCTCAATCTCTCCCATTTTATATATACTTGGATATCTATAATCCATCAATGGTGCTTTCATTGAGAGTTTGGGCAAAATCAAGTGAGGAATCCTCCCAAAAACATCCAAAATCCATTAGAAATTAGTCAAAATCAGTGAGAAAAATTCATAAAAAATAAGCCAAAGAAATCTGGAATAATACATCTGGATTTTTTTCAGATCTGCCGAAATCGTCTTCTCCATCCATGACTACACTTTGCTTTGGTGTTTCTGTTTGCAGCTCTCTGCTCCTCTTCCGTCGCAGTGCCACTAGGCCCGCCAATCCCTGGCTTCAGCTCATGGCCGCACCAGCCCCATGGACAAGGTACCTAGCCGCGATACTTGTTTGGATCCATGGAGCTCCTCGCCTGAGTCAGAACGGCGGTGCTGCCTTTCTTTCGAACCAGTCAGAAAAGTAGCTCGTTTGAGTTGCATCACCACCGCTCGTCGCTTGTCGGCAGCGGCTAATGAAAACTCGCTCCACTTTCACGCCATTCGCCTCCCGCCATGGTCAGGTCAAATGCAGCTCAAGCTGCAACACATGGGAGGTCCCCACCGGAGAAAACCATAAACAAGCATGAATCCGCCCCCCTAAGGGCAGAGACGACGAACTTCAGTGAGACCCTTGTCGACACAACCCAGACCCGAAACCCCCTCTCTCCGGCGGCGAGAGCTACCGAAGCTTTATGACCCCTTGAGCTGGCGATGACCATGGCAGAGGACAGGCCAATATGTGGCGCTCGAAGCCTGCGACCCTCCTCTGGCTGGCAGCAGAGACTCCGCCCTTCTTTGACCTGACGGCGACCGTAGGATGCTGGCGGCGAGTAGCTGCTATGACCATGGCAGAGGATAGGCCAAGTGATGACGATGACCGGTAGCTGCTCTCTTTATTCTCCAGACCTAGCTTAGCTACGGGAAATGACCGCAGGCCTAATGGGAAGCAATGGACCGGCCCATCAATGGTGGTGTAATCATGTTCTTCAGCAGTCCAACATTCCAGCCCACTTAAAAGCTAAGTGCCCAATACTCCTATTTGTACTCTTAAAATATTTATTAAATGATAGTAGTATAATTATTACTATTATTAATTATATTTTTTCCACCACCATTATGGCGGGTTAAAAACCCCCGAGGTGGTGAAGACCATTATGAGGGATTAAAATTTCCCGAGGTCGCTAGTGATGCATTATCATTGGCATTATTATTTTTATCATCGCCATTAGAGCGGGTCAAAAAACCCCAAAGTGGTGGACCCGAGCTCTAGTCTACCGAACATCTTTATTTGATGATTCGGATTATATTTAGGTCCCTCGACCTACCCTAGTCACTTTTATTTGGTGACTCAGACATCTAAAAATGAGAGCCGCTACCGGGCGCACATGGCATTAGGCCCGAGAGCGGTAAACGGTACACCTCATTCTCCGAGATGCTAATCGCGTCGCCCAAAAGCCGTTGCCATGAACAACGCACCTATTGTATTCCGCTTATTTTTTGGAAATGTAAATAGAAGATACCACGTGTCGTATCAGCAACCTACGAGCGACAAGCTCAGGCATACTCCATTGTATTTTGTATCAGCGAAGGGCTCAGGCCTAGCTGAGAGAGCACATCGTCCTGGCCCCGTAAGCCTAGAGTGAAACGCTCAGGTATGGCCGACGATGTCCCCAGGACGATGGGCCCGCAAACGGCCCGCGTCTTGAAATGGGAAGTTCACCGCGTCGTCCACGCGCCAGATCGTAGGACGCCAGGCCTGAAATCATGGCCGAGGTGGCAGAATCCCCCCACTCAGGGTTGGGCAACGGCAGCCGTTGGAAAACAACCAAAAGTCTAGCCCGCGTCATAAATAGGCGACGGGACCCCCCCTGAGATCACGGACGTTATAAACGAAGTCCGAACCGGCCGAAGGACGAGCACACCCTTCGGCCGAAGCTTGAAAGAAGGATACTCCCCGAAATAGGGAACGGAAACGGAAATAAAAAAAAAAGAGAAAAGGAAAAAGGAAAAATAAAAGAGGGAAGCCGAGGACCGCGCGCACTCGCTGTCCTCGAGCAACAAAAAATGAAATCCCCACAACAATACTAAGTACATATCAGACAAATACTACACATTATGGACGAAGCAAGACCATACATGCGGCTTAGACGAGCGCCCAGCGCCGTCCTCCATTTGTAGACGAGCGCCCAGCGCTGTCCCTCATTTTCAGACGAGCGCCCTGCGCCGTCCTTCATTCTTAGACGAGCGCCCAGCGCCGTCCCTCATTTTCAGACGAGCGCCCAGCGCCATCCATCATCTCAGACGAGCGCCCAGCGCCGTCCATCATCCTAGACGAGCGCCCAACGCCATCCATCATTTGTTAGACGAGCGCCCAGCGCCGTCCCTCATCTTAGACGAGCGCCCAGCGCCGTCCATCATCTTAGACGAGCGCCCAGCGCCGTCCTCCATTTGTAGATGAGCGCCCAGCGCCGTCCCTCATCTTAGACGAGTGCCCAGCGCCGTCCATCATCTTAGACGAGCGCCCAGCGCCGTCCTCCATTTATAGACGAGCGCCCAGCGCCGTCCCTCATCTTAGACGAGCGCCCAGCGCCTTCCCTCATCTTAGACGAGCGCCCTGCGCCGTCCTTCATTCTTAGACGAGCGCCCAGCACCGTCCCTCATTTTTTAGACGAGCGCCCAGCGCCGTCCCTCATTTTCAGACAAGCGCCCAGCGCCGTCCATCATCTTAGATGAGCGCCCAGCGCCGTCCCTCATCTCAGACGAGCGCCCAGCGTCGTCCCTCATCTTAAGACCGGCTTCCTCAGCGCCGCGAGTCTTGAGCTAGCGATCGGGCTCGCCATCCCTTCCCGGATGGTGACCATCGCCTTTATATGACGATCAGCTTCATCAGCGCCTCGTCATCATATTATAGGACCGGCTCCTCATCGCCGTTGTCCTCACATCACGGTCGGCCCCTCGGCCTCGGCGTGATCATCTATCTCAAGACCGGCTTCCTCAGCGTCGCGAGTCTTGAGCCATCGATCGGGCTCACCATCCCTTCCTGAATGGTGACCATCGCCTTTATATGACGATCAGCTTCATCAGTGCCTCGTCATCATATTATAGGACCGGCTCCTCATCGCCGTTGTCCTCACATCACGACCGGCCCCTCAGCCTCGGCGTGATTATCTATCTCAAGACCGGCTTCCTCAGCGCCGCGAGTCTTGAGCCAGCGATCGGGCTCGCCATCCCTTCCCGATGGTGACCATCGCCTCTATATGACGATTGGCTTCACCATCGCCTCGTCATCTTTATTTGGACCAACTCCTCATCGTCGTTGTCCTCATATCACGACCGGCCCCCTCGGCCTCGACGTGATTATTTATCTCGAGACCGATCTTAATCATTCCTTTACCGGATGGCGACCGTTGCATGGATCTTCGGACCGGCCCCTCAGTGCCTTCGTCCTCATATCACGACCGGCCCCCTCGGCCTCGACGTGATTATTTATCTCGAGACCGGTCTTAGTCATTCCTTTACCGGATGACGACCGTTGCATGGATTTTTGGACCGGCCCCTCATCACCGTCGTCCTCACATCGCGGCAGACCCCTTGGTCTCAACGCGATCTTGAGCTAGCGATTGGGCTCACCATCCCTTCCTGGATGGTGACCATCGCCTCTATATGACGGCTGGCTCATCATTGCCCTGTCATCATATTATCGGATCAGCTTCTCAGCATTGCCATCCGGACATCACGACCGGCCCCTCGACCTCGGCGTGATTATCTATCTCAAGACCGGCTTCCTCAGCGCCGAGAGTCTTGAGCCAGCGATCGGGCTCGCCATCCCTTCCTGGATGGTGACCATCGCCTCTATATGACGGCCGGCTCATCATTGCCCCGTCATCATATTTCGAATTGGCTCTTTTCATTGCCATCCGCGCATCACGACCGGCCCCTCGGCCTCAGCGTGACTATCTATCTCAAGACCGGCTTCCTCAGCGCCGAGAGTCTTGAGCTAGCGATCGGGCTCGCCATCCCTTCCTGGATGGTGACCATCGCCCTTATATGACGATCGGCTTCATTCTTGCCTCGTCATCATTATATCGGATCAGCTCATCATCTCCGTCCGCACATCACGATCGGCCCCTCGGCCTCGGCGTGATTATCTATCCCCAAGACCGGTCTCAGTCATTCCTTCATCGGATGGCGACCGCTGCTTGGACTTTTGGGTCAGCCTCATAGTGCTGACGACCTCGCATCACGATCGGCCCCTCGGCCACGACGTCACACCCTATCCCAACACCGGCTTCATCAGCGCCGAGTGTGTAGGGCTAGCGATCAGGCTCGCCATACCCCCTGGATGGTGACTATCGCCTCTATATGACGATTGGCTCCATCATCGCCTCGTCATCATATTTCGGACTGGCTCCTCATCATTCTCATCCACACATCGCGATCAGCCTCTCGGCCACGACGTGATTATTTATCTCAAGACCGGCTCCCAGCGCCGAAGTCTTGTTATAGCGATTGGGCTCGCCATCCCTTCCCGGACGGCGACCGTCGCCCCTATATGACGCACGGCTCATCATCGCCTCGTCCTCACCTTTAGACCCGCTCCCAGCGCCGAAGTCTTGTTATAGCGATTGGGCTCGCCATCCCTTCCCGGACGGCGACCGTCGCCCCTATATGACGGACGGCTCATCATCGCCTCGTCCTCACATTTAGACCGGCCCCAGCGCCGAAGTCCTTATCTAGCGACCAGGCTCGCCATTCCCTTCCTGGATGGTGACCGTCGCCTTCATATGACGCATGGCTTATCATCGCCTCGTCCCCATATTCGGACCGGCTCACCAGCGCCATCGTCCCCATATTCGGACCGGTTCGTCAACGCAGTCGTCCTCATATTCGGACCGACTCATCAGCGTCGTCGTCCTCATATTCAGACAGGCGTCCACCGCCTCGTCCCCCTATTCAGATATAGCGAACATCTTGCGGTCTCCGGCCGAAAGGCTAAAGGAGCCCAGAGTTCAGCCATATATCGCTCCGTCATCTTTATTTGATGACGCGAAGCTCATTTGCAGGCCCATCGGCCATATATCGCTCTGTCATCTTTATTTGATGATGAAGAGCTCATTTGTAGGCCCATCGGCCATATATCGCTCTGTCATCTTTATTTAGTGACGAAGAGCTCATCTACAGGACCATCGGCCATATATCGTTCTGTCATCTTTATTTGATGACGAGGAACTCATTTGTAGGCCTCTGAGCCACATCTTGCTCCGTCATCTTTATTTGATGACGCGAAGCTCAGTTGCAGGCCCCTCGGCTGCACCATCGCCCCGTCGTCTTTATTTGACGACGTGGAGCTCTTATGCAGGCCCCTCGGCTGCACCATCGCCCCGTCGTCTTTATTTGACGACGTGGAGCTCTTATGCAGGCCCCTCGGCCGCACCATCGCCCCGCCGTCTTTATTTGACGACGTGGAGCTCTCATGCAGGCCCCTCGGCCACACCATCGCCCCGTCGTCTTTATTTGACAACGTGGAGCTCTCGTACAGGCCTCTCGGCCCATCGGCCTTACGTTCTGGTCATCTTTATTTGATGAACCAGACATCATATTGTGGACGGCCGCTCGACCCATCCCTTAGTCATCTTTATTTGATGACTAGGACTACTGATCATGATGAGCTACCCACATCTAGAGATCGGCCTCGACCATCCAGCAGACGGGCACCGCTGCAGCTCCATCTCCAGGCCGAAGGGCTCGCACCTTTTGTTTCATTTTGGGGGCATCCGATGTACTCTTTTTCCCTCATTAGGATTTTTTTCCCACAGGGTTTTTCCTAATGAGGTTTTTAACGAGGCATCTTCCCATCGTGGATCAAAAGGTGTCAACCCTCGGCCCCCTGTTGAAGACATCACCCGACACGCATTACTCTACTCCTCTTCACCTCATTGCACTCGCCTCAAGGAGTGGGGGACTGGAAGAGCGGGGGACTTAGCGCCTCCGTTAACCAAAGAAGCAGAAATTCAAATTTTTGTTAATGAAGTTTACTCACCAGACGGCGACAGATCAGCACACAGTTCTACTCTCTTTCGCCTCGAATACTCTCGACTCAGAGAGTGGGGGACTCCTGATAGAGTATATAGACTCGGACCCCCGGGTCTCATGACTATTGGGCCCGGACAGCGGCCCACACACATCTTACGGATATCATTTGTATCATTGTACTGCTTATATGTCATTTGTATGTAACTATGTACTAGATTAGTCTTTTATGTAGTTGGGTTACCGGGCCCATATTAGCGGCCCGGCCCATTATTTCCCTATTTATACTCCTCTTGGAGCCATTTGTAACCCTAGAACATAAGTCTCAATACCACTATTCATCTTCTTCTCCACATTATTAAGCTCAATCTCTCCCATTTTATATATACTTGGATACCTATAATCCATCAAGAACAACTTTAACTTATTTTCATATAAATTTTTCCTTAATTTATTAATAGAGTATAGTTTTTCACAATCCAAAGATTTTATGTTTAAAAAATATTATTATATTCAACCCAGGGGCGGAGGGAGGGGTGGCCTGGCTGGGCCATGGCCCAGGGCAATTTTTTTTTAATTATAGGGAAAACGGTCAAATAATTTCTCGTATTATATTGCAAACATCAATTAAGTCCGCGTACAATTAAATCAATCAATTAAGTGCCTCAACTATAAAAAAACACCCAATTTGAATGTTTAACCGGTTGGTTTTGAATTGCACCGGTAATAGATGACTTGGGGCATTTTTTTTTCCTTTTTTGTTCCTTCTTAGTTTTTTTCTCTGCTTTCTTTCTTTCTTTTCCCTCCACCCGTACCTCTGCAAGGGTGCAATTCTTTCTCCTTTCTTTAATTCTTTCTTTCTTCTTTTCTTTCTTGATTCTCTCTCCTTGACTTCTTTCTTCTATCAAGCAACCAACAACCAAATCAAGAACTCTTTTTTCCTCCTTTCTTCTACAAACCCACCCAAGTACCCAACTCACAACACCAATCATTATGTTGGATGACGAACTCTAGCAGCGGATTAACATGGAGATAAACTTGCCGGTAAAATTGCCGGTAAACTCGCGGAAGAACTTCAACAACCTCCGGCGGACATCGCAATAGCCACCACGCCAAGTCGCCGACGCCGACCAGATTTTGTAGCAGAGGAGAGGGCAGATGGATTGAGAAGCACTGAAGCAGAAGATCCAAGAGCAGATTGCGTTGGCCGGAAAAGATGATATGCGGCAGCAGCCCAAGCTATCGCTTGAATCACTTGTCCTCTTCTGAATCGTTGAACTTGTGAAAATGAAGAATGAAAGAAGGGTCAAGATTCAAGAAAGAAAGATAGAGAAAATAAAGAAAAAGAAAAGGATATTGCAGTTAGGGGTTGACGGGAGAAGACAGTCATGCGAAAGAGAAGGGGAAAAAGACAAAGAAATATGGAAAATATGAAAATTAAAAGATTGCCACGTGTGTAAGTTAACTGGGTGACCGGTTGTTTTCCGGTTAAAAGATCCAATTGATTGTTTTTTACAAGTTGGAGGATGTGATTGGTTGTTTTTGAAGTATGAACACTCAATTGACTTTTTTGATATTATAAGGGGGTGTTTGGATTTGATTCTTAAAATTACTTCTGCTCCTTCAGGGAGCTGAAGCAGAAGTTGGAGTGTTTGGGTAAAAGTGCAGAAGTGATTCTGGTGCTCTAATTTACTCCTAAAATCAGTTTTTTTAGAAGCTGTGTGTGACCAGCTTCTGAAAACTGATTCTGATTCTGCTTCTCCTTTAAAAAAGAATCAGAATCAGAATCAGTTCCAAACACCCCCTAAGAGTTTAAATTATATATAGAGTTTAAATTTGTTTTTATAAATTGGCCCAGTCTAAGAATAAAAGTGACCCAGGGTCGATATTTATGGCCCAAACAAAGAAAACAGTCCAGCTCCAACAAAAAAAACAGTCCAGCTCCAACAGTCCAGCTGCAGCGCCTAAGCAATCCAAACTTTCAGGCAAACGGCAAACCAGGAGGCACGGGCATCAATCTTTCACGCAAACAGCAAACCAGCGCCGCAGACCACCCGTGCTCGCCTTCTGCTCGCCGGACGTCGTCGACTCGCAGACTCTCCATCTGCTCTCCTTCTGCTCGCCGGACGTCGTCTACTCCCTCCGCCCCTGCCTAAGCTGCTAGGCTGCACCGGTGAATCGCCTTCTGCTAGGCTGCACGGCAAACCAGGTGAGGTTTTTTTTTTTAATTTTTTTTACAATTTGTAGATTAATTAGGTATTTTATTTGTTAAATTAGTTTGTGTTAGTGATTAGTGTGTCACATAATTGTGTGCTTTGAATTGTGATTTGTGAAATAGAAAATTAGGAATATCAAATGTGATTTGTGAATTTTTGAAAATATTAATGTAAATTATATGAATTAAAATAAAGTATTGATTAGTATTTTATTTTTTTGTGGTAATTTTAGTAGGTATGTCTACTCAATCTATTTCCAAAAAGGCAAAAATCACATTACATTGGTTTTATAAGCCTTGTACAAGCACACAAAGTAGACAAGAGTTAAATGTCTCAATTGTAGGCCTGGGATCGGTTCGGTTGCTCTTCAAAATTGGAGGAACCTTTTAGAAAATCACAATTCATGATATCGGTTCGGTTCCAATCAAAAATATCTAGAACCGTAATGGAACCCAACCAATTGTTAACGGTTCGGTTCTTATAATTTATCGGTTCTTAAGAAAACCAAGAACCCTCGATTTCTGCACACAAAAAAATTAAAATACACCACAAACTATAATAAATCAAACTCTAATCCTATCTGAAATAACCATCAAATTTAAAATCAATAATTCAGGATTGTAAGAAGTTTGATCGACACAAAAGCTCTATTGCTCAAAAAAGTAAAAAACTAGAGCTTAAAAGTACAATTAGTCTTTCAAAAATAAAGAAAAGTATAATTAGTTCAGTCCATAATTTCTAACCAGTCGTTACCTATGCCTAATATTTTGCTATCGGTTCTTTAAGGGTTCTAACACAAATTTTTAAACCAAAAGCGGAAACCGAACCGTTATCAAACACAAGGAACCGAACTGATTAGAATTTATAACCCATTTAGAGGAATCGAACCGAAGCGGGTGTTAACGGTTCAGTTCTTAAAATTTTTATATAATGTTTTTAGTGTATAGTCGGCCCAGGTAAACATCCGTCCTAGCTATTCAACCAATTCATTTATTTTTTTGCAGTGATAACTATCATTATTCATCCCTGTGAGCTCGTGTAATGGTTAATAAGCCAAACCAGGTCGGAAGTTGTTGTTCACAGAGCGCATCGGCTTATGGCTGCAGCTCGCTGGACTATCAATTCTCTAAGAAGGTATACATTCTATATATATACATTCTACATATGCACCTGCAAATCTAATTAGCCTTGGCTGCGTGGGGTAATTGTAGTGTTTATCTTGCTCGTGTGGCCGGCTCATGGAAGAATATATCTTCAAAACCTTTACAGGCTAAGGAAATGGTGGTGTCCAGGGTGCGTCGCCGCGACACAGACCACGAGCTTAGGAGCTTGATTTTCAACAGCGCATGCCAACGGCGGAGTGCCACCGTCGTACTCCAGAAATGGATGAACGAAGGCCACCGAATTTCGGCTTCTCAGCTTCGATGTGTCTATAGGCAGCTAATCAAACGCCGTTGTTTTGGCGCAGCCCTAGAGGTTTCACGGTTTCACCCCTTTTTTCCTTTGTTTCAAACTTTAGAGTGGAAGTTTGATTTATGGCTTAGTGTTAATGTGCACATGAAAAATTATTTCTAAGGATGTTTTCTTTTGGACTGTTTTCAGTTCCAAACTTGATTAGACTAGATCAGGTCAGACATGGAGAGTTATAAAATCACGGATACCTAACATTTATCAGACAAGACCAAACCATTTCAGACCAGATCAGAACTAAATAGACCAGACCAGACCAACAAATTTCAATCCAAAAGAAAACATCCTAAATTCGGAGAAAATGCTAGTTAAAGATGTTTGGGAGGAAGAATTTGATCAAGGCTTTATCTGTTATGTACTCCCTCCGTCCATTTTATTTGTCTTTTGTTTTTGAATTGTCCCAAAATAAGTGTCACATTTTCCTTTTTGAAAAGAAATACTACCTCCGTCCCTCTTATATTGGGTCGGAAGAGAGTGGCACGATTATTAAGAAAAGAGGGGTTGTGTGGTTGATATTAATTGATAAAGTAAGAATAAAGTAAGAATGATTTAGAACCACACAAACTTTACCAATTATGGTATGGGACAATTTTAGTGGGACTTCCCGAAAAGGTAAAACGGGACAATATAAGAGGGACGTAGGGAGTATGTGGTCCACAACATTTCACTTTATTATACTCAAATCTCAACCACAACTTTTGCATTTCCAATCAGTTTATTAATAATTGTGTTAAAGTCAAATGAAACACATAAAATGGGACGGAAGTAGTACATAATAAATGAAAAAACCTTTTGTACATAGGTTGTACACACTTTTACACATGCCTGTTTCAAACTCCAAAAAAGCTTCCACAAAGTGCGTAAAAGTGTGTATACCAAGAATTGTTGCTAATAAATACTCAATATTTTTTGTTTCTGATTTGACCAGATCCTAATCTGGATGGAATCTCAAGATAGTTCTTCCATGTCTCCTTCTGATTACGCAAACAGGTCAGAATTAACCATTAAAATGTACGGTTCAAAAGCTGCGGAAGAGCATTTTGAAAACCTGCACACTTCCATTTCAAAGAAAGCTTCTTGTCTTCCTCTTCTCCATTGTTATGTTAAAGAAAGATGCACTGAAAAGGCAGAAGCACTAATGGCAAAGATGAACAACATGGGGTTTGCTGTGACTACTCAGCCCTTTAATGAGATGATGAAACTATATATGGCCACATCTCAGTACACCAAAGTCCTATCTGTCATCCTCCAAATGATGCAAAACCGTATACCCCTAAATGTTCTCTCCTATAACCTATGGATGAGTGCTTGTGGAAATATGAGTGGCATTTCATCCGCAGAGAGCGTGTACAAAGAAATGATCGATGATCCGACTGTTGACATAGGGTGGACCTCTTTGTGCACATTAGCTGAAATTTACCTAAAATTCAGACTTACTCGCAAGGCTATTTTGGTGCTCGAGCTTGCAGAAAAGAAATTATCCACCTGTAACCGCCTTGCTTATTTCTTTTTAATTACGCTTTATACTTCTTTAAACAACAAGGAAGGAGTGCTCAGGCTTTGGGAAGCTTCTAAAGGTGTGGGAGGAAGAATGACTTGTGCCAATTACATGTGCATGATTTCATCATTGGTGAAGCTTGGCGAGATCGAGGAGGCCGAGAGTGTTTTTCGAGAATGGGAGTGTCAGTGTAGGACATATGATGTCCGGGTTCCCAACATTCTTCTAGGTGCATATATGAGGAATGGATTCCCAGAAAAAGCTGAGTTACTATGTCTTCACATATTAGAGAGAGGCGGAATTCCAAATTATAAGACTTGGGAAATACTTATGGAGGGTTGGGTTAGAAGCCGGGATTTGTCAAAAGACTAGTTTTACGTTCACTTGCAATTTCCTTTCAACAAGATTGAAACTTTTGAAGATGAACCACACATGATTACCCAAAGATGTACATTAAGAGCCTAGCATAGTTAGTGTATCCATAAGACTTTTGCAAGGCTGCAAGTTAGAACATGAGTTTTTCACTTGGATTCTTTTTTATTCCTCATGACGACAACAAGAATCTCAATTCGTTGTTATCTCATGATGTTTTGTATGTTGACAAATCGTGTAATTAGAGGGAAAACATGTGTTATACTCTTCATTTTACTTATTTAAATTAACTTACGTGATACATGACTTTAGATAAGTAATGATTCTAAATTTCATGTCCACCAACTCCAGCATAATTAAGATTAATCTGATAGTGGTGATTTTTTTTTAAATGAATGGTTTATAAACGGTAGACCTATCTATGGGAGGGAAACTAGGTCAGTAAGCAGTTATTGTGTTTTTGCAATTTCATCCGTCAACCAGATTTCACAGGGTAAATATTTTTAGTGGTTTCTCCTTCCTAAATCCTAATGTTCAACATTTCATTTTAGTTATTCTTTTACGTAGTACATCTTAATGGATTAAATATACTTAATATACAAGGCCCTATGGGTCACACAACAAGTGATTATACCTTCCGATTGAATTGTTAGAAGGAATTAAATATTATTAATTGGATTAAATAATATTTAATTCGTAATACTGAAAATGGATTAAATATTAATTAGATTAGACGTATTTAATTCATAAAGGTGAAGGAGAGTTCTATTTGATAGAATTAATTAAGTAAGATAAATTAGATTTATCATACTTAAATAAGATGTATTTATTATTAAATAAAGTAGATATTTTCTTTTGTAATTTGGAATTAAAAAGAAAAGTAAATAAAATAAATAATAGTATATAATAATTAGAAAGTGGCGTGCAGCCACATCTCAATTATTATTATTATTATTATTATTATTATTATTTTGTTTTGTTTTATCTAATTATTTAATTAATTAGGAGTATTGGTCCTAGCAGGACTAGAACTCATTAATGAGAAAGACTTTCATTGTGATTGGGAAACTAGTTTAGAACTAGTATAAATACATACTCCTCCTTCATAATTCATTGTAGAATCTTAGATTAAGTATTACCAGTTTATTTCCCTGCGAAGAGATTTCCTAGCCTTTCTCTAAAGGGAGATCTAATCGTTCTTTCGGAGAGGAGAAATCACGTGGATACCTAAGGTCAAGGATTATCACCGCTAGGCTGGAAGATCTGTAAGTTCTAACTCAAATCTGTTATTATTATCATATTCGTTGTTTTGTCATAATCAGGAAAGATCTGTTTGGGAAAATTTTAAACTTCCGCTGCCGTACTTTCGAGGTACGTTACATCAATTTCCTAACAGTGGTATCAGAGCCAACCTGATTCTAATGGCATTATGCGAATTTTGATAGATATATTCGTAGATAAAAATATGTATTTTTCTGAAGTAACATTTTTACTCTCTAATCTGATCTTCGATCGAAATGAGATTGATTTTTGTTTTAGAATAAATATAATAAGATTTGATTTTAGAAATTAAAATCTTGTAACAAAATAAGATTTGATTTTAGAAATTAAAATAAGAAGTCAATTCAGATTAGAAGGAAGAAGTAGTTGCTGAATATAGAAGCCTCTGTTATCCTTTGTCGTTCTTCATCATTTTTTAAACAAGTTTAAATGATCTTGGAAGCAAAATTCTTTTCGGTCAAATTTCTCTACGATTAAATCTTGGAGTTGGACGATCTGGATCTCTCCTGAACGGAGGAGTATTGTTTTGTATTGATTCGCATGGAGACTGGAGAGAATCAATGCAGCTGCTGCCATGTTTTGGGAAATTTGATTTTGTTTTTAGGCTGACTTTAGAAATTAGACAAACCTTGAGGGCTTTGCTGCAATTTTTGAAATTCTAGATTAATGAGAAGTCTAGCACACACACAAGTTTGTCGATTCCTTCTGTTTTAAGCTAGTAGAAACCTACATGATGATGAGTTGATGATAATTACGGAGCATTACTATCCGTTTTAATTATTAATAGAGAGCCAATCTTTTACTTGGAGTAAAATACTAAGTACTTAATTACGTAACTGGTTAGTACTTGGTAGAAATCTTAGAGACTCTATCGTCCGGTTAAAACCAGATAAAGTTATTGTTTACTCCGTATTATTTTAAGCTTGCTTATTATATTAAATGTTTGAAAATATTATTTGTTTATAAATTTGATTTATAATGCATGCTTTAAATTTATATGTTTGAGTTAGAACTCATTAACATATTTTTTGATAATATGTTATTAGCATCTTGATTAAATAGTTTAATGTTCCGTTAAACGTTCCCCATAAATTAAAATTTAAGTCTTATCTGGGATAACGACATCACCCATCATAATTAAATTAGTAGAAATATTTTTTCGTTGAAGAATATTTCACCCAAGTGTTTATTCCATTCGACAAAATATAGAACTAATTTATAGATACATATGTTTGTGATCGTGTGATGGTTTTGACTTACTTAAATTAGCTCGAGTCGCCCAAGCGTCAGTGTTAATTTAAGGATGTCGATCAATTTAAAAATTGATCAACCAAAAGTTGCTTGGACGCAATTGGTCTAGGGACCTACCCATTATATTATTACAATAATCAGCCCAAGCTGGGACTGTAATAGTATGAATGAGGATTTTGGCCACTATGATTGTAAAACATTCCATGTTCTTTTTATTGGGGTCAAAGAGCATGCAAAATAGTGGGAGCTAAATAATTAAAAGTCCATATTATTAAGTTAACTAGATGTGATCATAGGAATTAATATATGATTTTAATTCCGTTCTATTTGAACTTCTTTAGGCTTTTAGGAATGTCGAATTTATCATTGAGAAGTATCTTGGATACATGCAAGCTTACTGGACCAAACTTTCTGGACTGGGAAAGAAATGTGCGTTTAGTTCTTAGACAAGAAAATATTGAGTATGTGTTAGACACGCCGGTACCCAAGATTCCTGATGCTAACTCTCCCGAGTTTGCCACGTTTGACCTGACTACTCGAGAGAAACACGTTACTGATGCTAAAACTGTGCAATGTGTTATGTTGGCTGCAATGTCTATGGAGTTGCAAAGGCAACACGATAGGATGAGCGCCTTCGAGATGCTTGAACACTTGAAAAGTCTGTTTGATTCAGAGAGTCAGACTCTAGAGTATGAACTTCTGACAGACATTTTCAAGTGTAGGCTTCAAGAGGGTGGCAACGTGTCTGAGCACGTCCTCAAAATGATTGGCATAATTGAAAGAGTTGCTACCACCGGAATTAAGTTTGAGGATCGTGTCTCAGCTGCTATCATCCTATATTCGCTTCCGAGTTCATTTACTAACTTCATTGTGAATTATAATTTGAACAAAACGAAAGCGACCATGCCTGAACTCCATAACATGCTCAAGTCTTATGAAGCCTCAACCTCTAAAGGAAAGATTGTTCTTATGGTAAGCTCTAATGCTAAGTCTCGTTCTAAGAACAAGCAAAAGAAGAAAGGTAAGGTTGGACCTACTCCTACAGCTCTTAAGCCTAAAGGTGGAGGTCATATGAAGCCAAAGGTTGCAAAGGATGTTTGCCTCTACTGCAAAGAGAAGGGGCATTGGAAGAGAGATTGTGAGTTGTATAAGGCTAATCTAGCCAAAGCACCGGGTGCTTCAAGCTCAGGTATTTTTATCATTAAATAAATATGTCTATAACTAACTCTCATTGTTAAAGTATTAGATACAACTTATGGCTTACACATTTGTAAAAATGTGCAGAAGCCTGAGAAGCAGTGTAGCAGTTGGACTGGGTAAAATTGACCTACGCGTGAAGGCTGGAGCAAAAGTTGCTGCTGAACGTGATAGGATCTTATAGTTTAGATTTGCCCAGTGGTTTTAGATTAGAATTAAATAATTGTTATTTTATTCCTTCTATTACCAAGAAGATTATTTCCATTCATATGTTAGACATTAAAAGATTTCTATTTCCATTTTGCTAATAATAATTATTATTTTCATAAAATGGTGTTGTTGTGGAAATGCTTTTCTTATGAATGGTTAATTATCAATCGACATATTAGATATTAAATGAATAAAATAAAAGGATCTCGATTAAGTAATCAGAAAATTATTACCTATTTATGACATTGCAAACTTGGTCAAATTAATGAAACAAGAATAGCAACGTTAAATGAATTAGATTATTTAACACCATTTGCTTTTGAGTCATATGGAAATCGCGAATCTTGTCTTTCAAGCAACTTGACTAATAATCATTTTCTAGGAAAAAGGATAGCAAGCCAAAGAGTACTTAAGTAAAATTTCTGATTTATTTAAAAGGTCAAAGAATTCCGTCATAATGAACTCCTCCAGAACACCTTATACGACTGGCGTTTCTGTAAGGAGAAATAGAGCTTTGTTAGACATGGCTAGATCTATGATGAATTCATTTTCTCTTCCAAACATTCTTTTGAGGGTACACGCTATAAATCTCAATATACATTCTGAATAGTTTGATTAGTGCAAAATGTACTATATAAGTTATAGCATGATAAAAGACATTTTCTTCACATATTAAATATGGGTTGCCCTGCATATGTAAAGAAATGTGCACTAATCAAATTGAAAGCTGAAGTAACATAAAGAATGAAGATTTGTTAGATGGTCTAACGAAGGATTCAGTGGGAGAATTGACTTGAAGAATGTCTCTAGGAGGATATCCTTCAGCTAGTGGGAGTAATATAGGAATCACCTCGCACCAACAAGTGATTCTTATTAAAGATAAGATGACATGGTTGTCATTCCTTCTGCACCCACTTCTCTTTCTCTGGAAACACTTAAAAGTGTAGCACCAGAAAACTCTCTAAGCATTGGATAGTCCAATAAAAGAGAACCTCTTCACGATCAGAATGAACAGCCTGAACAAAACGCAAAACATTCAACTCTGCGGGTCTACTAGGATTCATCATGAACTAACTAGGTTAGGCTTCCTCATGGAGGATCATGATGATGTTGAAATTCCTGACAAGGATGAACCTAAGACTTACACTGAAGCAATATTAGATATTAATTCAGAGAGGTGGCGAGAGGCCATGAAATCTGAAATGGACTCGATGTATATCAATCAAGTATGGAACTTGGTTGACTTGCCTGTTGGGGTTAGACCCATTGGATGCAAATGGGTTTTCAAGAAGAAAATTGATGCCGAAGGCAAGGTGCAAACATACAAAGCTAGGCTAGTGGCTAAAGGTTATAGTCAAAGAGAGGGAATTGACTATAGTGACACCTATTCGCCAGGTGCAAAACTCAAGTCCATTCGAATTTTGCTTGCGATAGCAGCATACTATGATTATGAGATTTGGCAAATGGATGTCAAAACTGCTTTCCTTAATGGAAACCTCAAGGAGGAGGTGTACGTGGTACAACCTGAAGGTTTTATATCCAAGTCAAATCCCAAATCAGTATGTAAATTGGAGAAATCCATATATGGGCTAGAACAAGCATCTAGGAGTTGAAATATTAATTTTGATGAAAAAGTCAAACCGTTTGACCTCATCAAATGAAATGAGGGTGCTTGCGTGTTTAGAGTGCGCAACAAGGAAAGCATGGTCTTTAAAATCATATATGTTGATCATAGAGAATGATATCCCCTCATTGAAGTCCGTGAAAGAATGGTCACCCAAAATCTTCATGAATATCTTTTGTCTATGGTAGACAGAAAGAACTAGTAGAATTTAACTATTCTAGCACTAGTTTCATGTATGATAACAAAGACTACGAGTCACAGTCAGTATATGTTTTTAGTCTCAATATAATAGTAATGCTAATAAATTCGACAACTAGAGCCTAGTAAATTGTTGCATTTGATGCAACATAGGTAAGCGTTTAGATATGTTAGTTCTTTACAGAAATATGGGTAGTTCCTAGCGACAGTTATCCAATAATTGTTATTGTGACTGTACCGGTGCATTTGCACAAGCTAAGGTACTAAGATGCAAAGTAAGGAACTAGAAAATACCAGTATGCTATCTTGTTTTGATAACAAATAGCAAGATGAGAAGTTATAAAAGAATGCCTTCCCGTAGAGGACAATTTGGCTGGCCCTTTCCCCAAACCTTTGAGATGTGAGAAACACACTAGACTTTTGAGAGTCTAGGTGTTAGACACATCGGTGATTGGCACTAGGCCAAGTGGGAGATTGTTAGTATATATGTCCTAGCGACAATCACTTTTTAGAGATATATGTACTTGATCACATTTAGTTTTATATATTTGATATATACGGCATTACACATTGATGATTAAGTATTTTGATTGATAATATCTTATTCATAATTGTGTTCCCTTGGACTTATGTTGTCAATAAGTAAGTGGGAACTTATATGATATCACATAAGGTCCTAAAATAGCCCCAATCAATGATCATCAAGAATGGGATATTGATGATATGCGATAAGATTGGTATGTGGACTGCATCATACTTTTAGAAAGTATAGTTGATCTCACAACTATGAGTTCCTGTAACTCATGATGGTCACATAGATATTTTAGAGAATATTGGCATACCCACCGAGAAACCATTTGATAAGTTCTATTCATGTGTCTATGGGATTATCGGCGTATAGAGTAGTGTAATAGTCCTCCGACTTGAGGTCAATACGTACTACATGTGCGGAGTGATGTACTTTGACCATGACCAACGCTTGCACTCCCATCGGGGTAGATACGGCATGTGTTGGGTGCATCACGAAGCACATGGAGTAGTAGTTGAGCCAAGAAAGGATTCATTCCTCATAATAGATTAAGAGAGAACATTCTACTTCTCATATATAGATGGATCATAAAGTCATTGGCCAATGCAAAGATATATTCGTTTTGGATATCGAATATGATCGTAATGGATCATCTAGAAAGATTGAGAGACAGAGACTGAGTTATTGGAATAGACACAATATCATGTTCTAGACTTAGTTGAATGTTCGCTGAATGAAAGGACCGTATCACTATGAACTCTATATTACAGGGAGTTTGAATAGTCCTCGCAAACGTCCTTATATGTTAAGTTTGTCTGGTAATTCGTCTAGGGATTCTACTAAGACCTTAATTTGATTAGTGCTTAATATACAAGGCCCTATGGGTCACACAACAAGTGATTATACCTTCCGATTGAATTGTTAGAAGGAATTAAATATTATTAATTGGATTAAATAATATTTAATTCGTAATACTGAAAATGGATTAAATATTAATTAGATTAGACGTATTTAATTCATAAAGGTGAAGGAGAGTTCTATTTGATAGAATTAATTAAGTAAGATAAATTAGATTTATCATACTTAAATAAGATGTATTTATTATTAAATAAAGTAGATATTTTCTTTTGTAATTTGGAATTAAAAAGAAAAGTAAATAAAATAAATAATAGTATATAATAATTAGAAAGTGGCGTGCAGCCACATCTCAATTATTATTATTATTATTATTATTATTATTATTATTTTGTTTTGTTTTATCTAATTATTTAATTAATTAGGAGTATTGGTCCTAGCAGGACTAGAACTCATTAATGAGAAAGACTTTCATTGTGATTGGGAAACTAGTTTAGAACTAGTATAAATACATACTCCTCCTTCATAATTCATTGTAGAATCTTAGATTAAGTATTACCAGTTTATTTCCCTGCGAAGAGATTTCCTAGCCTTTCTCTAAAGGGAGATCTAATCGTTCTTTCGGAGAGGAGAAATCACGTGGATACCTAAGGTCAAGGATTATCACCGCTAGGCTGGAAGATCTGTAAGTTCTAACTCAAATCTGTTATTATTATCATATTCGTTGTTTTGTCATAATCAGGAAAGATCTGTTTGGGAAAATTTTAAACTTCCGCTGCCGTACTTTCGAGGTACGTTACATCAATTTCCTAACAACTTCCACTACTACAATCAGGCCCAACAGACCCAAGCGGCCCAAGATGCAGCAAGCAAGACTCCGGACAGCGAACAAGGCCCAGGAGACGTACGTCCTTGGCCACAGGGAAGCCCCAAGGGGACGTTCGTCCTCCAACTTAACACATGATGGTCCTACCAAGGGGACATTCATACTCACGCACATGACGGTCCTACCAAGGGGACGTTCGTCCCCCAACATCAGGAGCACCCAGAGGACTTTCGTCCTCCATCACATGGAAGGCCGTGGGGACGTTCGCCTCCAGCACATGGAGCACCAAGGGGACGTTCGTCCCCCAACACTTGAAGTCCCAGGGGACGTTCGTCCCCCAACATCAGGAACACCCAGAGGACGTTCGTCCTCCATCACATGGAAGCCCTCGAGGACGTACGTCCTCCATCACATGGAAGCCTCAGGCGACGTACGTCCTCCAGTACATTGAAGTCCTCCTAGGTACGTATGGCCTTCGGCACTCTCCACGACAGGATCTCCTCTCCACATGGTCTGAATCGTCGTATTAACTGCGGCCACATGCTATCAACCACCGCATTAACTGTGGCCACATGCTATGTCAGCGCCACCCTGACCGAATTGACTCTCCACCGCTGGTTTCTTGCCCCGTGTGCCTTCACTTATTGCATCAATTATTTAGAGCTGCTATAAATAGCAAGCCTACTCTTCATTGTAAGGGATCCAATCCCATGTTATCCGATTCTCAACTTCATTTAATATACACCTACTCTCTCTTACTTGCTCTGACCTCTCTCTTGATATTTTCTATAATATCCCTCGGATAAGCTACCCCCAGGTACACCATCCATCACAATTCTTTGCACAAACTTGTAGATTATGATTAAAAATACCTTATCACTAAAACGTAGGAAAGCAACAGAGAAGCACTATCCTCATTCCCCATCCATCTCCATCTCTTTGATTTTTTATATA